GTCTCACACAGAAGATTGGTGAGTTTATCACTCTTATCTCCACAACACACCAGAGGTCCTATTTTGGATTGCTCTCATTGCTTCCAGGACTCTGGGGACCAGTTACCGCTTTTCCTCCCTCAGCTTGCTCTGCCAGGATCAGTACTTTTCCTACCACTTTCTTCATGTCTCTCTGAGACAACTGGAAGAGATAATGGACTGCAGATGCAGCTTCTGACAACATGCTGATAACACTGCGCTGTGTATTTTATTCTCCTGTCACTAAGCTGTCAGGCTGCCTACACAGAATTATCTCCTGCTTAGAAAGGAGATGGTGTAAGCAGTAAGAAATGGTGCTGACTGTAAGGGGGAACATTCCAAAGAGCTGGACAACACATTTTGCGGAGGGCAACCAGTTCCCCTTTCTCAGTAGCATAGGGTGTTGTCCTAGTTAGAACAGCTGGGACCAGTTCATCACTGTGTGAGTGCAACCCAAACTGTGTATTCTACACCCTCCATGTCATTTCCCAGGAACTGTTAACAACAGACCATTTGCAGCAGAGCCCTCCTGGCCCCACAGGCTATAAACTGGGTGTTAAGAGGCCTGTGAGATAGGAGGATGTTCCTGTCCTCACACCCATTGTGGAACTCCCCGCCCTGAGGGAGGTACTGGGATTCCTGCCTGAACCTGAGGGTATATAATCTTGGGATCTTGGGACTTCTGGTACCATTCGTTGGATCCAGAGGAGGACCAGAATCTCAACCAGACTGTGACCATCACTTTCAGCCAGACTGTGATCACCACCCTTGACCAGATTGTGACAGCACTGTCAACCGGACTGTGACCAGCACTCTCACCAAGAGGTTTTCCCTCTCCTTTTATTCTGGACTCAGGGAGACAATGTGGGGCTCAGCACGGGGGTCAACAAACACCACTCTGTTCATGCCCCAGGGTGCTGGGTTATATATCTGGGTTTTGTGGGTTAAACCAATTGTTTGTCCATGTAATTATATTTACGGTATTATTTCCATTAAATTGTAACTCTGACTTACAATCTCTTTGGAGTTGGGTTCATTTCTCCTGCTGGTTTACCTTTAAACCAGCACAGGTGTGAAGGTCCTGTTTAAGGACACTCACTGTGAAAGGACAGCCTGGTCATCTCCAGTACCCAGGACACTTTTCAACACTGGCTTTTGGGTTGGGATTATCCCTCACTCCAGAGAAGCGGGTCACCACTAGAACTCATATATCCGCTGCTTCTGGCTGGATTATCATGTCTTACCACAGTGAGTTGCGAAGACAACAATATATAGAGCCTCAATCTGCAATAAAAGGGGATTTTGTTCCTGACTTTTCCCTTGGAGATGCATGCAGAAAGCACATCTGGACCTGTGTGGGCTGCTAGTCAACTTCTGTTAGGAATTTAAAGTTTGATCCTAATTTCCAAAGCAAATAATGGAGCAAATCCAACTCCACCAGAATCCAAATTTCACTGTATACATTACAAGTCTTATTTCCCTCTATTCAAATCATGCAGAAAAGAAATTTTGCAGCAAAACTGGAGGCACAGTGTCCTCTGGGATCATCCATGAGTAGAACAATATTGCAGAGGAAGACAGGGACATTGAGAGTTTACTGATCCTTAGGAAGCATTGCTTAACCTTCCTATCTGGTGGTATTGCCCTCTCCTGAAGCCCTTACTCACCTCAGACACAGTTTGGTCAGGAAGGGACTTTTTCAGACAGTTTATGGATATGGGGCACAGGAGGAGGAAAGAGGCGTTTCCAAACACTGTCTCATGAAGTCAGTGTTCTTTTTGTTTATGGTGACAAGTAGTAGTACATAATCTTTTATTTAGAGTTGAAAAGGGAGGTGCTGAAGGGCAAAAATTCTCAGTTATAAGGACATCTTCCATTTACAGAGCAAGGTGAATGAAGGGAGAAAGTGTAATCTATCTTTCATGGAAAGTCCTTAATTTTTATCAAATTATTTTTGCTGAAGAGGTACTCAGACAGTGGTGATTTAGGGCATCTAATCAGGCTCACAAGAGTATCCTCGCATCTGTTCTGCCACGTTTTCTCTGTTTTTTTCATTGTGAATTTTTAGATGTGGAATTACAGAATAATTGGAAGGACTACAGAGAACTTTAAACCAGTGCTTATTGTATTTTGGCCATTTTTTTTTTAATAACAAGAAAACAAAGACTTTAATCAGAAACTATTATTTCTGTTAAAATCCTGCTTAATAGAAAACCATCTGAACAGAGTTAAATGCAACTTTCTGCACCTTGTCCTCAGTGCTCTTAAGAAAAACCACTGACACCCTTGAGCTATTCAGAGCAAAGACATGTGAACAGCAATATCATTCCTGGTCTTACTTGAAGAACTATGACATAAATAAGAGCATTTCCAAAGACTGCAATGAGGTTTGTGAGGGGTCTGACTAAGTTATGAAGTGTCCTCATTAATTCTACCTATACATTATAACACCAGATTCTTTTCTTGAGTGTACTTGGATGGGCAATGTAATAATAAACTGCTGCTGACCTCAGGTAATATCAAGGTTACTGGAGATCAAGGGAGTCCTTGAAAAAAATTAAGAATTTCTTGGCTTGCAACAAGAGGAGAAGGGTTTGAGACCTAAATATGACCTTAATCTACCAAAACTTGACATGTCCCAAAGTTGTTGCTGCGAACAGTTTTCACACTTCAGGCTGAAAATACAATGCATTACACACAGTTTCTGTTTTTTAACTATCTGTTAAAAACTTCTTTGTTTTCTGGGTGTACAAAGTTTCCACACTCCTGTGCTTCTCAGCTGTCAAGACTCCAAAGATTTGTCTGGATATTAAGAAACTTCTTTTATTTCTTCCAAATGAGAAAGAGGAAGGGACTGTTTTTCTTTATAATGCCTTCCTTCCCTCATGTCTTCTCTCCTTGAGATGGTCTCCCAGGGAATCTTCTGAATCTTTGATTTGCTTTTCAACTCAACTCCCCCAGATTTATTCATAGGTAGAGATGGTTCTTGCACAAGTCAGTTCACGTCCAGGTCCAGCAGGGTGATGACTTTGTGGTGCTGCACATCAGCACAGACACAAGCACTCTCTGGTCTCTGCACGACCCCAACAAGAGCAGGAGCTTGGGTGGCAGGAAACACGTTCAGATGCTGAGTGGAACAGAGTGTAGAACCTGACCAGCCCTGAGAACATAGACTGGAAAAAGGGATCAGTGACAACAAGAAGCTCTAAATCTCAAAAGTTTCTCGACAAGAATGACAAGAGGCATGTCTTTGCCAAAGAGTTGGCTTACATGCAAATCTATTGTTTTTGCTGACCCACCAGTTTAACACAAGCCGGCATCAAGCCTGTACAAACTTAATCACTTGCAGTACATATGTACTTGTCTGTAAACGCAGCTGTAGCACATATATTCAGATGGGAGCACATGTTCTTCTGAACTTCCTTCCAGAGGTGACTTTTTTTCTGCTTCTAGCATGGAAGGAGCACCTAAAAGTATTCCAGGTTGTGGACAACGACATCAGTGCCCTCTCTATTTATTGTTGAATTCGTTAATGTGTTAAGGATTTTCTTTGACTTTTCTAGGACTTTTTTTTCTTATTGCCAGAAACATTTTGGTCTGCATATGAAATATTCAGTCCCTTAAATTCTTCTGTTTGGAGACACCATGCACACTTGTTTTACTGTGCAGGGTGTGTGAAGAAGGGGCTTATGTGAGTAGGGGGTGATCATAGCCTGTGTCCTGAAAATATATCCACTAAACCAAGAAGATACTGATGTCTTCCGATACTACTTATCGTAGCATCACCATCCATACGAGTTCCTCTGTGGAACTTCTCGAAAAAGGGCTTCTATCATTTTAGTGGTTACAAGAACTTGTTAATTCCCAGTTATCCACCATCCTTCTGGATTTTGGAACGTTTCAACATTTCTATCAATTGATCTTCATTCATCCACATGTTGCAGCAGTTACACTGGTACTGTTACTCCACCACTGTTCCAGTTGGTTTGCCAACACACTGCCAAACAGAGCAGAGCTAGCTCAGAGTCCCTGTTTGTTTCTGTCAGGGTTTAAGTTCAGTTGGAACTCCCTGAGCCATCTGTGAGGGACTTCCACTCTGACAGGGTATGGATTTACCCTTGCTGGGTTTGCTCCTGGTTTGTTCTACATTGAGTGGAGTCAATTCTCTTAGTGGGCCCTTGCAGTGGGTTATCAGTGAACATGTGACTCCACTGTCTATCCAAAACCTATGGTTTCATTTCCCAGCTTTACTGGAACAGGGGGATCTGCTGTGTATGTCTTGATATTTTCCCCCAGTCCGCTACCAAAATCTTCAAAATTTTGCTAATTGCTTCAAAAAACACAAATCAACATTTATTTCAGTTTAAAAATTAAATTTATTGCACATTTCTACACCCACACTACCGATACATAAACATACAAAAATAAATTTCAGTCAAAAAAAATAAAATTTATTACAAATTGCTACACCTGTGCTGAGTTATAAATACAGAGATATCGATTTAAGTTTAAAAAAATTTATTAGATTGCTACAACTATGCTATGTAAAAATATACAAATATTAACTGCAGTTAAAAAAGTTAATTTATTGCAGAGTACTACAACTGTACTAATACAAAAATATCAATATACCTATCCAAATAACACCATACCTATAAGTAAATAAATATAATTATAAAACTATACAACTCTGTACCTACAGAGACATAACTACATACACATAACCATAACAATATAGATATAAATATAATTACATATTAAATATACTATATAAATACATATATAAACATATACATAGTGAACCTGTGTATAAATATACAAATATCAATATACCAATCTAAATATCCATAGGCCTATAACTACATCAATATAATAGACAGCTATACAACTCTATACATATTTAAATATAATGAAAATATAACAATATACATAAATATAGCAATATACATACATAAATATAACTAGATACATATATTAATATATGCATCTAAAAATCCATATACCTATAACTAGAATAATATAACTATATAGCTATACAACTGCACACATATGTAATTATAACTAAATACAGATAGAAATATAACACACATATATAAACACAACTAGATACATACATAAATACAACTAGGTACATATATAACTAGATAAATATATAAATATACCTATACAAATATTCAGTCTACATATGTAAATATCTATATACCTATAACTACCTAGGTACAACT